GTCAGACTTTTTCAAGTTTTGACATCATTGCCACTGGTTCAAAAGGAAGTGAAGTTTATGAGTAGCTGAAAAAATCTACACAATGCATGTAGAAATGCCTGTAAGATACCAATTGTTAAGGAGAACTCCCTTAAAGACTGTGTTGCTAAGTGGTTGATAAATAAAAACAAACAAGGTTAACTGAAGAGAACCCGAGTCTGAACATGACTTCTTGGACAGGGAAATCCATAAAATGCCGGTTCGTGAGGTAAGAAGAATGAGATTAAACATTCGAAGTGTACTTGCTTTTTTTTTTTAAGAAGTAATTACACAAAGACAGGTGCAGTGAGAAGTCACTGGTGTAGAAAATGGGATTCGAGGCAGATGAGAGGAAGTTTGTTTTAAAGGTGGGGATAAAAGGATTGAGTCAGTGACACAGTCCTCCATGTATTTGTTCCTCCGCAGTTTGCTCTGTGGAATGGCCTCAGGGCCTTGGTACACAAACCAGCTCTTTGTAGAAAAAATGTACTTTGGAGATCGTATCAGATTTTTCTCAGCTTCCTACCAGGTGCCAAGACAACAGCTCTGTGAACAAACAACAGGTTGCTTGGGTAACTCCATGCAAATAGGAAGATTCATACCGGTATGCAATGATGCAGCTTTAAACAGCTCCCCATTGGCTGCAGGGAGAAACCAATTCCCAAGGCAGTCTGGTATTCAAGACCTTCCCCAATCATACCCAAGGTAACTTCTATAGCTCCCTGGTGCAGACTAATTGCTCCATCTGTCCTAACTAGTGGGTTCACTATCACCTCCCCCAGTCTCAAGACACATGCTGCACTTGCCCATCCGGAATGCCTGCCTCTAACCTCTCCACCTTTCCAAATCTAATCTATCCTTTAAAAATTTCTCAAGTCCGACCTCCTTCATGAAAATTTCTAGCTCACTACAACCTAAAGGAATCTAATCTCTAGTGGATATTGTCTGTGGTCTGAGAGATATAGCATACCTGTACAGTTAGTGTTATTATGTGTCTTATCTGTCCAACCTAACTATAAACTCCCTAAAGACAGGAACTATGAATCATTCATTCATGCTTTTATACCTTCACATAGAGAGGGCCCAACACATAGTCAATGTTCAATAAATATTTGTTGAGAGTTTTATGTAGAATGAAAGAGACAGATAGTACTATAACAAATGCATCACAGTGGCTGAAGCAGCCTCAGTTACAGCAGGAGGCTGTCCTTCACACAGACATTCAGTGAGCCAGGCTGATGCAGCTCTGCTCTCTTCAGTAAATGGCTCCCAGGGCTAGTTTAATGGTGTCCACCCCAGCCAGTAGGAAGAGAGGGAAAAGTGGAGATCCAGTGCCAGAGATGTTCCCTCAGGATATGAGTGAGAAGTTGCACACATGCATTTTGAGCACATTTCTTTGCCTAAAACCTACCTGCAGAGGAAGCTGCAACCTGCAGTCCTGAGCTAGGCATCCCCATTCCAGAGGCAACTCTGTTATCAGGAAAGGAAGAGAGGAGAGGTTTCCGTGGGCCAGTAGTATCCTAGATACAGGCAGTCTGGGCACCTTTCCCATAAGCACCGCTAGTGAACATTTTTATCTAATGACAAAGAGTGTCCTCTATGCTGAAATCAGGCTTTCTATGAAATGTCAACCTCTCGCAATCCAAGGATGACTCTCAGCTCTCCCTGCCCAGATCTTGCCAAGGGTGGCCAGGAACCACATGTAGGAATGATACACCAAGCAGAAGGAGCGCTCCCTCTCTCCACCTTCTAAGTAGAGGAGGAAACATTTGTCCCCTAACCTCTCCATTGTGAGCCCAAGTGAAAATGACTCCTGCCCCCCAGCTCAGATCCCATCGGCTATCTCATCAAGGGTCTGAGACAACTGAGGACTCCCCTTGCTGCTGCCTGTCAAAGAGACGGAAAAGTCTTCGGCCTTTCACTTTACTTTTGTGTCCCCAAAGCCACGCTTGCCTACTAAGCTTGGTAATCAATGTGCCCAGGCCAGCGGCTCCTGCTCACTTACAGGTATTTTAGAGGCTATCCCTGTAAATATATAAATGCATAATTTAATTCAATTTGAGAGCATTGATTGATCACACATAATAAGCAAAGCACTATGTAGATACCGAGATTTTCAAAAGCCACAATTCCTGCCCTGAAGTTGTTTAGCATCCCCTAAAGGAGATAGATATGAGCAAATAACTCTATTACAAAACTCAATTGGCCAACTCTAACCAGAGATGCAAACAAATGCTGTGAGACTGTGGCCAAAAGAGTAATCAATTCTAACTAGCTGGCTAGGGAAGATGCCAAAACATGTTTAGATAAAAAGGCTTCCTCGGGCAGGTGGTACTTGAACAGGGCCTCCAGGGATGAGTAGAATTTTAACAAGTGACAGAGAAAGAAAGTGACATTCCAGGTGGAGGATGGGCAGGGCTGGGATGAAGGGTGCAGAGGAGATCTGGGTGTGAAGTAGGTATGGCAGGAATGGCTCTGAGGGCATGCAAACCTGGCCCGTCAGGACTAGCAATGTCCAGGTATTGTGGAGGAGTGCAGCAACTTGGTCTATTCCAGGTAGAAGGAAGACAGTTCTGCTGATGGTGGGTGGAATGGTGAGATAGAGAGGCAGGGAGAGCAGTCAACACTCATACTAACTAACATTTACTTGGCATGCTCCTGTTTGAAAGGAAAGTCTTATCATGACTTCCATATTACAGATGGGTAATGACAGAAGTCACACACTAAGTGCAAAGGCAGGATTTGACCCCAGATATGTTCTAACTGCAGAGCCTGAGTGCTCTGCCAGGGTAACTACTGCACTATAATCCTGTGGGCATGGTGGTGGTCCAGCCCTGAGACGGGGTGGGGGTGGGGAGCCTGCATGAGGGCGAGCGTTGTGGAGGGAGAGCACTGAATGGAGTTGCCATTGAGGGATCAAAAGAAACTCAGGACTGTGACGTGAAGGAACGTGAGACCGGAAGTGGGGGAAGGATAATAAACTCTGCTTAGACCTATGGAGTCCCGAGTGGCTCGAAAAGAAAGCTATAGGGACCACTAAGGAGCCCTGAGAGAGCTGGGAGCCTGGGATGAAGAGAAAACAGACACACAGTGGCAAGTCTTGGCATTCAGACTTGTTGACACTGTGCACAAGAAAATCAACAAACAAAGCAAGAAAGCAAGCAGCTGCTTGGGGAGTTCTGATCGACTGATTTGGAAGGAAAATTCAACTTGATGGACTGGGCTGTGTTATACTGATAACAGTAAGTTCTTTTGGCCAAACCGAACTTGGTTCAATTTTAAAGGTCTGCTATGTAATATCGCTTTGCATACCAAAATATCCGTATATCTTGGGAAAGTATAAAAATGATGTTTTTCCTTTCAAACAGTGGAATGTAAAATACCCACCAAATCCTCCTGCACGGCGCCTGGGTAAATGTATTCCTTGTTATTTCGTTTAAGCTGCTAAATATCTATTAGAGTAAAATTATGGGCTCTTTGCATGTGGAGTTTCCACTTGCAGCTTCCTGAGTAGCGAAGCAATGAATGTGATTCGGAGTCCTCGGTTCTGTAAGGCATATCTGCTTCAGGATGCTGATTGCCAAGCAAGTGGCCAGCGGTCCTTAGGGAAACTGCTTCCTCTTTGTACTCAACCAGGGAGACTCATAGAACCACAAAGGTAGCTCAGATCTTAGATCGACATGATGACACACCAAAGCCGTTCCCTGTTAGGCTTTCTTTGGAAAACCTGAAAACACCGGCAATTCGAACTATCCAAGCATATCACTCCGTGACCTTCACTCTGACCCAGAGACTGCTCTCTACAGAAGTGATCCACCCACTTCACAAAGTCAGGGTGACTCCTTTCTCTGTAGGCTCTTTCCACTCGCCTCCAGTGTGTATTTCAAGTTTTTCAGGTGAGCCACCTGTGGCCTTTGCTAAGCAATGAATGGAAGTGGAGGCTGGGGGCATAAGTCACATGCTTTAGAAAATAGGAAAACAACCATTCCCTTTATTCAGCTGCACTAACTTTCTCACCACGCACAATGAACAAATACAAGACGTTAAGATCAGCAGCTTTAGCAAAGCACAGAGCTGTCAGGTTATGGGGGAGGATATTTGCTAAAGCAGAACACATACCCTTTTCGTATAAAAACTAGAATATGAATTAAGCTATCACTCAAAAAGAGCTGAATGCATCTGAAACCAAAGTACACTGTCAGCCACCTCCACTTGCTCCGGGCGCTGATGCCTCGATTAGCTATGCAAGAAGCTACCTGCTATTTTAGAATTATATGAAGTCACCTCAGGGTATCTACAAGCTTCTCACGCACAAGATACTAACTTTTTTTCTCCTCCTTCTTGGCTTAGAGCACAGTTGTTGCTGCATCCAGGTAAGTACTATATCATGGCTTGTTATTGCAGAAGCTGTCATTAAGGAAGCTTGCCTTCTCACAGAAGAATCAGTCTGCAAACAATAATGGTTTGTTGCTAAACCCCCCTCAGACTAAAAGACATCTAGCATTTCTTTTTTTTTTTTTTTTCAGGTAGTAAGTATTCCCCTAAAAGATTAGGGAACGCAAAGCTTAATTTCTAAAGAGGACTTTTTTTTTTTTTAGTAATAGAGAGCATTCTGCCACCTCATTTCTTTTCTCTTTTTTCTTTTCTTTTCTCTTTTCCTCTTCTTCTTCTTCTTCTTCTTCTTCTTCTTCTTCTTCTTCTTCTTCTTCTTCTTCTCCTTAGTCTCCTTCTTTTTCTTCTTCTTTTAAATAAATTATCTTCTCTCCTGAAATAATAACTAAATTTTAGGACCAAAAGAATAGCTCACATGATAGGTATCTAACCGACGAAGCTGCCAGTGTACATAGTATTACAAGCACCGTGCAGTGTAACATGTTCCTACCTGAGGTACATAGATCCTGTTTTGATACTGGAGTACTTAGAAAACATTTTTAGATGAAAATGTGATCATGAAAGTGAGAGACTGACAGCTCAATCTTCAAAAGCCAAGGTTAATAAGGGCCTTTGTATACTTTCCCAAATAAATACATTAACACAGTTAACCTTTGACCTGCAATGCCCTTAATCTTTCAGCCCCAAGCTTCTCCTGGGAAGGGCGTAGCGATTCTGCCAAAGGAGCTGTGCCACAGAGAGTGCTGAGCACTCACTATAGTTTAGACCGAAACCACCTTAATCACTCACCTCTCATCTTGCCAGATTTTCAGAGTGTAACTATTCAAACTGTTCTTATATTTCTCAGGCTTAATCTTCCCCACATAAAGAAGGGCAGCACTACTTTTCTGCTGTTGCCGCTCACTTAGCTCAGAGGCATTTCCCAGCTCTAACGCCTGGTACCACCATAAAAAGATAGAGAGTCCTGCTCTGCCTCTGCGTGCCCACCTGCTCTAAACTCAGACTGTGATCCTTGCAACTGGCCTCTGTGCTTGCTCCCCACTGGTGTTAGCAGGTACGGCCTATAAGTCTAATCTTCCCTGAGGCCTTAATAAAATTTCTTTTACCGCACATGCAATCATTAAGCATGCATTTTATATTTCCAGGTGCAAAAATTTGTCATGCAAATCTCTTTGACCTGAAGTAACCGAATGCATCTTAGAAACATGAGTCTCCTGCTTACTCACGGTAAGTCCATCAACCTCATCTGATTCTCCCCCACTCCAAATTGACGTGGCTTAATTAGACATATCTGAAACCAAGGCTAACTTCTCCAGGCCTATTATGGAAGCACCATGTCTATGCAATAGGATTAGCTTTTGTCTTTGTGGTTTATACAAGTGTAAAGAAGATGACTAAAATCCACACCTGGGACATGAAGACTCTATGGTTACTTAATGATTCTGACCTAGATGGTTCTGATCACATCTGCTGTAAAAAAAAAAAAATAAGGATATGAAGTAGTTATCGCTATATTTACTTCACAACTAAGCCAAATGCTAAAGCACAGCTCTGCTATCAACACTTCCAGCTGGCTAGTGAAAGTTTGAAGGATGGAGAGGAGAAACTGGAGACTCTCCCACCGTGAAGTTGTTGCTCTAGGCATGGCCAATGGACCAGCATAGGACAGGAAGTTGAGTGTCCCAGAAAGATTACACAGTTACAACCCTTGACCTTCTATTCCCAGCCAGACAGTAATTAGTTCTCCACAGCATTCAGGAAAATGTGAGGGCACTTTTCCATTGCTAGTGCTAAGGCAAAGAAGCCATCAGTGGAAGGTTCATAAGTACTTCCTCTATTAATATTATCTCAATTCCAGGGAACAATAGGTGAATGTGTTTGAAAGGCCCCCCTTGTCCCTGGAATCAGAGAGAACACTTTGTCATTGGCTAATTGCTTATTTATTCATTCAACAAATATTTACTCACAGTATACTAAGTCCTTGGGTGCATGCATCGTTACACTGGAAACACACCATAGCAGGAAACCCTAGTTAAATAAATGCTAGTTTCCTTCTTTCTTCTTTCTGGGTAAATATATTCTCATTGAAAACAATGAACTGACAAGCAGTCCTTTCAAGACTGCCTTTAACTAAATTTAAGCTATAAAATATGAAGGTTATGGGGAGCTCCAAAGTGCTGATTCCTTTTTCAAATTACCTCATTTCTAAGTGGATACTGATAAACAGAATTAAGGTAGGACAGCCTTCCATATGTGAGAAGTAAAGCTCATTGTACTACCTGAAGTTTCCTTACACATAATTTCTTAACACATAATATCATTACATTTAAAAACAAACTATAACAAGTGTTTTTCTGTTTGGTCTTTCGAGCTAATCTGGCACATATAAATTGCTTCCCCCTCCCCAAACCCCGTCATAATGTAAAGAGTGACATAGATTTGATCAGCAGTATTCTATTACAAAATCAACAGGTAATAATTACCTAGGTGACTCATGATGAAGTGTTCTTAGCCTATCTAAAAAGGAAGAAAAGTTCATTATAGTTCAGGTGTACAAAGCACAAATCTAAGAGCCAAGATTTCAAAAATTGCCCAATTTCATGGAGTATACGTTCCCTTAAAAACTGATTCTCACCAAGACTTTTATTTGCACAACTTAAATTAGTCATGTGAAGGGGAGCAGATTAGTTACAGAACAGGAATCATGCCATTCTCTTCTGTTTACTACAGCCAACAGGGGTTGAGTTACAAGAGTTTATTATTTCTGAAGATGTACTTTAGAAACAGGACCATAAACAAAAACATAAACACAAATGTGAAATTCTCAGAGTGAACACAGCCTAAGAACAAGGACCCTCAGAAGGATCTCTGAGGAGTAAGCCTTATGTCAGTCTTCATGAGGTCTCCTCTCTCCCCACAGCAGCCTCTAACATACGATGTCACTTCCCTCGCTCAAACCAAGTGATCTAAAAGCCGATAGGCGAATAAAGGGTCATTAGGTAAAAACATGCTAGAAGGAGTCCTTTCTGAAGTGGATCGAGTATCTTTAATCCTGTATTCTGGCCTCCAGATGATTTATGGCTCTTCTTTTCTTTTCTCTCTTTCCTTGTAAGGCTTGCCAAAGTAGACTTTAACTCTGCCTTGAAGCGTGCAAACACAGAGTTCCATCTTCCTTGATGAGTCAGATTCTTGCCAAGTGAAAGCTTTAATGACAAAATTACGCTCCGAAGGAAGGACAAGGTGATCATCTAAAAGACTGAGGGGGAAAAAACACACAAAACAACACTGAGTGTTCTTTGACTGTTGCAGTTTAGAAAATTAAGAGTTAGGCCAGGATCTTTCCTCTACACCACATTACTGTCCCCCATCTTGCCCCAACTCTGGCTCAGCTATAACAGAAAAATTGCATATATTTTAAGACTGATTTGATTCATTTGGGGTAGGGCATTAGAAACCCTGCCTCATCATCCTTTGGTTCTGCTTTACTTTAAATGACAAGGAACTCTCTGTCTGCATTCTCTAATCTTCCCCCTCCCTCAATCATAAAAGGGTTATCCTTATGTCAAATTGTGGAGTGGCCAAATGCGTCTCCAGCACCCAGTCACATTCATTTGTGAGTTCTTCTCCATCCCTCCCTCCCCTAGCTTTGCAGAGTCGCTCAGGCACCCTCCAGTTCAGCTATGGATATAATAAACAAGTGTGTTCTAAACTGCAAGAGACCTTCCTTGTCCCATTCCTCTCATGCCTTCATTTACAAGAGGAAACTTCCAAATTCCTCTCCCTACCCCAGGTATTTACCCTGCAAAGCTACAGATTAAGCAGTTTACTGGACATTTCCATAGGCATATTCAACAATAGCTTTCCTTATAAACTTACCCTGTGTAATGGCTAGTGGATCAGTCTACCTTCCCACTACCCACATCAACAGCCAGAGAGTTGCACTACACCCTATTTTTTCCTTCACCACAACAGTAGTTTTCAATTTCTATCCTACCTTTACTTCAATTTCATCATCAAATGTTCATGGAGTGCCTATTGTGTGCCAGGAATTTTTCTTGGCTCTTGGGATTTATCAGTAAGCAAAATGGGGAAAATTTCTGTCTTCCTGGAGTTTATTTACATTTGAGTTTTTGGAGACCAGACTGTTAATAATAATGGTGATGATAATGATGACGATGACGATAAATAAATAAAAAACAACAGTATCTTGGCAGATGAGAAGTACAATGGAAAGAAAATTAAGTAGAATAGAGCTAATAGGATTGGGAATGCAAGTACGTACGGATGAACAGTGGGCAGTGGGGGGTGAAATTTTTAAGGAAGAGAGCAAGTAAGGCTTCTCGAGACATGACATTCAAGTATGAAGGCATCAGCCATAATGTTAGAGGGACGAGCCAGTGCACAGGTTCTATAATAGGAATATTTCTACTATGTTCAGGGGAGAGCAAGGAGGCCAGTGTGGCTATAGCCAGTGAAAGAGTGGAGAGGGGTGCCAGAGGACATCAGAGGAGAACCTGGCCAGATGGTAGGAGGTCTTCTTGCACCAATGTAAGAACTGTGGCCTTTACCTAAGTCTAATGGGGAAGATTTATAGGGTTTTATTTTTTACTTATAAAAGAATCACCCTGGCTACTGCATTGAAAACTGACTTTGGTAGAGCAAGAATAGAAGCAAAGACAAATTAGGAAGTTCTTACAATAATTTAAGTGATGGATAATATCCTAAATTAAAGTGGTTTCAATAAAGGTTATAAGAAGTGACCAAATTCTACATAAATTTGAAAGGGGGGGGCAACAATTTTTCTTTTCCTTTTTTGTCTTATTTTCCTTTTGCAATAATTTTAGACTTACAGAAACATTACAAAAAATATATAGCTTTCATATAACCTGCACCCAGTTTCCCCAAATTTTAACAAATTATATGAACTGTTGTGTAATGTTTAAACCCAAGAAATTAACAATGATACAATGCCATTAACTAAATTACCAATTTTATTAGACTTTCTCCATCTCCCCCTCCCCCCCACCCCCGAATGTTTATTTTTTTGTTCCAGGATTCCAATTGCATTTAGTTGTTTCTCCTTAGTTTCCAGGAACTGTGACACACAGTTCCTTTGTATTTCTGTTTCATGACAATGGCACTTTTGATGAGTAATGATTTTGTAGAATATCCCAAAATTTAAATCTGATATTTTCTTGTGATTTGGATTGCATTTTGTCAAGAACACCACAAAAATTATACGTGTTGGTCTCCATACATCATATCAGAATATATATGATACCAATAAGTCTTATTATCTGGTGGTGTTAAGCTCCAATGAGATTTCTAGACAGACTGAAATGTGGTGAATACGAGAATGAGAGATTTTTGTTCTAAACTACTGTAAGGATGGAGTTATCAACAGGAGATGAAGCAGGTTTAGGGGAAGATGAGCGCTCAGCTTTGAACATGTTAAATTTGACGAACCTATGATATATCCAAGGGGAGGTTTCACATAGGCAATTGGATATATAAGTTTAGCATTTGAGAAAGAGGTTAGGCTAGAGCAGTGATGGCGAACCTATGACACACATGTCAGAGGTGACACAAGAACTCATTTTTTTGGTTGATTTTTCTTTGTTAAATGGCATTTAAATATATAAAATAATAAAAGGCTAATATGCAAATTGACTGAACAGCAGAATGGCCGGTTGCTATGATGCGCACTGGCCACCAGGGGGCAGACGCTCAATGCAGGAGCTGCCCCCTGGTGGTCAGTGCACTTCCATATGGGGAGTGCCACTCAGCCAGAAGCTGGCTCATGGCTGGCCAGAGCAGAGATGGTGGCAGGAATCTCTCCCACCTCCGTGGCAACACTAAGAATGTCCAACTAATGGTTTAGACCTGATCCCTTGGGGGCCTAAGCCTTTAGTTGGACATCCCCCAAAGGCTCCCTGGCTGCCAGAAGGATGTTTGACTGCAAGCTTAGGCCTGATCCCCCAGGGAGTGGGCCTAAGTCGACAGGTGGACATCCCCCATGGGGTCCTGGACTGTGAATGGGCGCAGGCCAGGCTGAGGGACCCACCCGCCCCCCCCAGGTGCACAAATTTTTGTGCACCGGGCCTCTAGTAAAAAATATGTCTTTGTTTTACTATGGTTGCAAATATCAAAAAATGTTTGTATGTGACATGGCACCAGAGCTATGTTAGGGTTTTTCAAAATGCTGACACGCCGACCTCAAAAGGTTC